ACTGAATTTTTTTTTAAGATGTAGATTTTAATACATCATTTCTTTGTTGAACTTGAACGGGAACCAGAATGAGACGATCCAGAAGATGACCTGTGGTGCCTGGGTAAAGTACTGGTGTTCCGTAGGGGTTGGCCCTGGGTTCAGGGTTGTTTAGTGTTTTCACCAATCACCTGGCTTCCGGGTGACCTTGATCTTGTTCGTCTTTTTTTGCGATCACCAGAAGAAGATGATCTAGAGCAACTTCTCTTCCTGTTCCTCTCAGGAGAAGATGATGAACTTGAATAAGATCTTTTTCTTGGGGAAGAAGAGCCCCTGTGGGACCTGGAGCTGGATCTTGATTTCGACCCACGAGATCTCGAATGTTCTCGGGAACTGGAACGAGATCTTGACTGTGAACTGGAAGATCTTCTTGAACGGGACCTGGACCTAGACCTTGAACTTGAGGGGGAGGATGAGCGTGATGAAGATCGTGAATGTGAAGATCGAGACTTTGAGCGACTTCGTCTATTGGACTTCTTTTTATTAGTATCTTCTTCACTGGCATCAAGATTATATTTTGACAGATCAGCATCACCTTCATCCTCATCCTCATCTAATTTATATTTAGAAAGATCTTCATCCTCATCCTCTTCTCCTCCCTCATATTCTTTATCTTCAACTTCCTTTAAAATAGATGCAGGACCAACAGCCTTTCCTCTGTATTTTTTCTTTTTACATCCAAACTCATCATATTCACCATCAGATTCTTCTCTTTCTATGTACTCAACATTTTCTCTTTCATTAAAACCTCCACCATAGCCTGTTCTTTCTTCTAACTTAGGATATTTTGGAGTATTACACATATTACATTCTGATCTTCTGGCCCAATTCACATTACTGCAAGTTTTACACTGCCAGTCATTAGCACTAAATGGGCCTCGGCTTTTTTCTGCCAGCGTCTTTCCTATTTCAGTGCCCCCAGCTTTCATCATCTTGGCTTCAGTTGTTTTCTCTCGTCCACATCGATTACAGCTGGTTCTTCTAGCAAAATTTACGTTTCCACACTTTTTGTCAGGGCAAATCCAGTCCCCGTCACTGACTCGGAAATTCTTGGTCGACATCTTGGCCGCCGAAACCACAGCCACCCGCAGCTACGTCTGCACAGGAGGAAGAGGGCCAGGGGCTTTCTCCAGAATGTTTCTTTTTGGGTGTAAAAACCTTTTCATGTCTTTTTATATCGTGTTCTCATACAGTTAGTATTATTTTGTGTGTGTGATTTACTTATTTCACTCAGCATAATGTCCTTCAGGTTCATCCATGTTATGAAATATTTAGCAAATTCATCGTTATTATTTTATGTTGCATATGTTTCCATTGTAATTATATGTGTATATATACAGTTTGTGTGTGTGTGTGTATATATATATATAATTGTTTATCCATTCTTCTATTGATGGGCACTTAGGTTGTTTTGATCATTTTGCTGTTTGAATAGTGCTCTAATGAACACAGTATGTACATCCAAGAGAAATAAGAGCCATTACATGAATAGATTCATATGTTAACTACAACACTATTCACAATAGCCTAATGATGGGAACAACCTAAAGGTCCATCAATAGAAAAATGGATAAACAAACTATGGTACATAGACCTAGTAGTGAGTTTCCATATCGCTTGGTATTTCTATTTCCAAATTTTTAAGAAAGTTCTATACTGTTTCCACAGCAGTTGCACTGTTATATAGTCTGAATGGCAGTGTGTGAAGATTCTACTCTTTCTACATTGTTGTAAGCAATTGTTTTTTTGTTATTATTATTATTTTTGTTGTTCATTTGTTTTAGCTTTTAAAGTAATGCTGGGAGATGATAGCTCATTGTTTTGATTTTCATCTCTCTAATGGCTAGTGGTAATGTTGTGGGGTTGGCTTTGGGTTAATAGTCCAAACCCACCAGTAACTTTCTGGTTGAAAGATGAGGTTGTCTATTCCCATAATGATTTGCAGCCTTTAAAACCTGATATAGGGTCATTATGAGTCAGATAAAACTCAATAGTAATGGGCTTGCTTCTTTTGCTTAATAGCTTGATGATCTCAAAATTTTTTTCATATGTTTGTTGTTACTGAAATGTCTTCTTTTGTTCTATGTCTGTTCTTGTACTCTGCCCAATTTTTAGATTATTTGTCTTTTTCATGTTGAGGAGTTGAAATTGTCTATAAATTTTAGGGACTAGTCTCTGACTACGTATGTCATTGTGAAAAATGATGCCCTATCTATGGGTTCTCTTTTTATTTTATGGTGAAATCTCTTGAGGTACGTAGGTGTCTTATTTTTAGTAGGTCCTAGTCATCTATTTTGTCTTCTACTGTGTGTCCTTCCTTGGTTATGCTTGAGACTTTGTTTATGTCCTGTACTGGAGCTCTTAAGTTTGTTCCTTCTTTTTCCCACTGATGATTTTTATAACTCTAGAAATTACCTTTAAGTCTTAGCTACGTCTTGATTTTGCTTTTGTACATTGAGTGAAGTATGGATCCTGTTTCAGTCTCATGTAGGCAGACATCCAGTTTTGCCAGCACCATTTGTTAAAGAGACAATTTCCCATTTAATATTTGTTGTTGTGGTGGTTCTTTGTAAAAGATCAGTTGTCTGTAAGTAGATGAATTTATTTCTGGATTTTCTATTCTGTTTTGTTGGTCTTTGTGCCTGTCATTGTACTAACACCAGAGTTATTTGACTACTGTGGCTGTGTAATGAAATTTGAAGTTGATTAATAAGAGACCTGTTGAGAAGTTATTTGCTTGTCCTCAGTCATGTCTCTCTCCATATAAAGTTAGTAATTAATTTTTATGTTAAACCTTCCTATCCATGATCATAGAAAAATTTTCCACTTATGTATGTCTTTTTTGATTTTTTGTAGTAGTGTTCTGTAGTTCTCTTTCCACAAATCCCTTTATCTATGGCTTGGTTAATTTCTAAATATTTCATCTTGGTGCTGTCAATGTGAATGCTATTGTTTTCTTGATGTCTTTTTTCAGAGCTCTCTTCATTAATATTCCTATGTGAGTGATTTATGGTGCTGCTGATTTTATGTTCCATGTTATTTTCTGGGATGAGTTATTTTTATGTGTGGAATTTCTTGTCATTTTCTTCATTGATGTTATCTTAGTGCTTACTGTCTTCATGATTGTACTCTTTTATTTTATGAAAAACTTTATTCATTTGTTTGAAATTATTCTCTAATTTATTATTTTCTTCCCAAATTTAAAACAATCTCTTTTATCTTGAAATTGCCTTGCCTTTCCCTCCATTGGGCAGTTCTCTGACTACCTTATTTCTTCTTTTTATTGTCATATTATTCATTTACAAATTGCTACTTCTGGTGATCTATTTTCAGTCTTATAGGATTATTATACTGTGGATACTTCTACATCTGGTTTGGCTTCTGGGCGATATTTTCAAGTGGATTAACTTTAGGTTGATGTCTGTCCTTGTTTGTTCTCATTCCTAAAATCTCCCTTTAGTATTTCTCAAAAGATTGGTCTGGTTTTCATAAATTAACTTGATATCTTTTTATCTGGAAATTTCCTGATTTCATTATCATAATTGAGGGACAATGTTTCTAGGCATATTTTGATTGGTAATTTCCCCCCCCAGAATTTTATATATGTCTTCTTGCTTTCATGGTATGCTGAATGTGTTAGTCTGGGTAGACTAGAGAAACAAATTCACGGACACTATCATATGTATAGGAAAGAGCTTTATATACAAGAGCAGTTGAATGTTGAGAAAACATCCAAGCCCAGTCCAGATCAAGTTCATAAGTCTGATATTAGCCCATATGTCTGATACCAATCTATAAAGTTCTCTTCAAACTCACAAAACACATGCAATGAAGTCAAATGCAGGAGGATCACAGGCCAGTGGGTTGGAAGCTTTGTGAATCCAGTGATGTTGTAAGCATCTCAGTGCTGGCAGAGATCTCTATGTGGCTTCTCCTACTCCAGAGGTCTGGTTTCATCAAGGTTGGTCCATGTGGCTTCTCAAGCTCCCAGGGTATAGCACCATGTATCTTGTCAGAGTTGTGTTATTAGGGATGCTTTACATCCACAAATCTTTGACAATTTTCTTTAGGCTTTGTTGTAATTCCAATCACACATAAGTTGTAACACATAATCCTTAGGCTTTCTTCTTTTTTTTTTTATAACAGTAAGCATTAAAAAAAATCAATTTATTAGGGGCTCATACAACACTTAGCACAATCCATACATACATCAAATGTGTAAAGCACATTTGCACATTCATTGCCCTCATCATTCTCAAAACGCCTTCTCTCCACTTAAGCCCCGGCATTAGGTCCTCATTTCCCCCCTCCCTCTCCAGTCCCCCCTCCCTCATCAGCCCTTGATAATTTACAAATTATTATTTTGTCATATCTTGCCCTGTCCGACATCTCCCTTCACTCACTTTTCTGTTGTCTGCCCCCCAGGGAGGAGGTCACAAATAGATCCTTGTAATCGGTTCCCTCTTTCCAACCCACTCTCCCTCTACGCTCCAAGTACCGCCACTCACACCACTGGTCCTAAAGGGTTCATCCGCCCTGGATTCCCTGTGTTTCCAGTTCCTATCTGTACCAGTGTACATCCTCTGGTCTAGCCAGACATGCAAGGTAGAATTCGGATCATGATAGTGGGAGTGGGGAGGAAACACTTAGGAACTAGAGGAAAGTTGTATTTTTCATTGTTGCTACATCGCACCCTGACTGGCTTGTCTCCTCCCCGAGGCCCCTCTGCAAGGGGATCTCCAGTGGCCTTCTAAAGGGCTTTGGGTCTCCACTCTGCACTCCTCCCATCATTCACTATGGTAAGATTTTTTGTTCTGATGATGCCTTATACCTGATCCCTTCGACACCTCGTGATTGCATAGGCTGGTGTGCTTCGTCCATGTGGGCTTTGTTGCTTCTGAGCTTGATGGCCGCTTGATTACCTTCAAGCCTTTAAGACCCCAGATGCTATACTTTTTGATAGCCAGGCACCATCAGCTTTCTTCACCACATTTGCTTATGCACCCATTTGTCTTCAGTGATCCCTTTGACACTTTGTGATCACACAGGCTGATATGTTCTTCCATGTGGGCTTTGTTTCTTCTGAGCAAGATGGCCGCTTGTTTACCTTCAAGCTTTTAAAACCCCAAATGCTATATCTTTTATGTTGTTTTTATCTGATTCTTCTTCAAGCAGATTAGTATGGAGATATTTCTCTTTAGTCCTGCTCAGTCTTCCAGTGATTGAATTCTACTCCTTTATGCATTCAATGTATTATCTACTTCTGAATTCTTAGTGCTAATCTGGACTTTTATTTGCCGCTTTTGTATAGCTTCTATTTTTTGTTTATTCTTTCAGTTTATTCTCATAATGTTTTCCTGGATTTGTTTAGAAATTTGTCTGTGCTTTCTTTGAATATGTCTACAGTTTCCATGATCTCTTGAAAGTGCAAACAGAGATAAATTCATTCTTTTTGTCGTAGTTAATTAATTTCATGTCAACTTGATAAGTAAGAGTGTTGGGGTGGAGTCTAGCCTGCCAATGAGGTCACAGCTTGATGGTGCCTCCTTGTGGGCATGGCCTTCTCATAAAGAAGGTGCTGGGAGCACCCCCCAACTCCTGCCCTACACACAAATACACTCTCTGCCTTCACCTTGATGCCAGTGAGTCACTCAGAGAGCTGCCAGAGCCACTGCCATTAGATCCATGGGGCTTTGTATACTCTGGCCTGTGAACTTCCTGAATTCTGCTTCATTTCATGTGGCTGTGTAAGTCTGAAGGGGGACTTATGGACTAATATCAGACTCATGGACTTGTAATGGACTTATGGACTTGCGTTGGACTGGGCTGGGATGTTTTATCGATTGTGACAGTTACATAATCTCCTGTCAACTTGTGAAGGGGTGGAGTCCAGCCTGTCAATCAAGTTACAAGGAGATAAATAGCTCACTGGAAGCCAGACATACTCTCTATGTTTCCTCTCCCTACTAGACATTTCTGTTGGCAAGCCATATGGAGCTATGTTGATATAGCCAGAGCCCTGAAGCTGTAGGAATCATATGGAGACCCATGCCACCTCTCA